TATAATAGGGAAAAAGCTGTGATTAGTCCACTAGCTCATATGAACATATGAGTCTAACGGTCCAGATTGAATTTGGGCTGATTTGACAATTACAGATGTCCTGTAGTGTTTAAAATTTTTCTTTTTCTATAAATTCAAATAACTTGAAATTTTAAGTGATTGGAAAAAAAATTAGGAAAACATAATTGGGAAAATTATTTTTCTACAAATTCATATAAACTTCAGATATACAGTTGCCTCAAATAATTGGGAAAAAAATTCTCATGAAGATGATATATAGTAGGTAACATCAATTGTGACCAACTCAAGCCTAGCACGATTCTTCTATTTAGTAATAGTTAGAGAAAAAACAAAAAGTTATTTTTCTCTTATCTTATGAACAACACTAAAAGTGCTCTCCAAAGCCCAAACCTACCCACAATAGCAGGACATGATAAGCAGACAGCACGACTTGGCAAAAAGGTTTGGTGTGGTCATTAATTCAGTTGCGCGTATACGGAACAACCAGAATACAGACTTTTATTACTCTGGGGCTATTTTTATATATAAATTACCCTTGTTTAGGATTGACGATCTTGAATAAACATAGACATTTTACTAATTTTGAATGTATATTTTGGTTATTTAGTCAGAGCTTCTTAGAATCAAATTTATTAAAGGATACGGTTCATATAAACTGTCAACTTTATATAATCAAAGTACAGTGATCTTGCTAAAAGACTCAGTTCTAGTATTAGAAAACGTTACAATGGCCTAGAAATCTATTGTCGACCCGAAATATGAATTTTAAAGCCTATAAAGTGGTACAAATTTATGCAATTTTGAGAATTGAAGGACCTGATAATTTGTTACAAGTTACACTATTTTTGGGATTTGAAATCTCTTTTTTTTTTAAAAAAAATGATGAGATTTGTATAAGGTGATCTTTCGTAACTCCAAAATTTACTTGCAGATGTAGTTTTGGTGTAAAAAATCTTGTGATGGCTTGAAAATCATTTGTAGTCCTAGTTTTGAAATTTAAAATTTTAAAAATTGTATAGATCAAGCATATTTATAAACACTTAAAAATCTTGAAAATGGATGGTCCAGATAACTTATTAGAAGATGCACTATTCTAAGAACTTGAAATTCTTTTTGTTTGTGTATTTACTTTTGAAGTCAAAGATGATCAATTAGAAGGTTCTTCAATGATGCAACACTCTTTTCTAGAGGATTTTTGAGATTCACCTTACTTGTATAATTTTGCACCATTATCTAAATATGTTCGTGAAATTTTGAGGCGCAACTAAATGCCATAGTATAAGGTGGGCACCTTTTATCAATTTTTTCCTTCCTAAAATGCTCATACTTGTTCCCGGTTTTCGAGCCTAAACAAGTGTTATAGTGGTATTTGAAAATGAAAAGATATTTTTGAAGAGGTACTCAAGTACACTAAAAATTTAAAAATAAAGATCTATTTAAACTCATCATCATATGTTTTTTGAGAAATATTTTGAAAAAAAATAAAAAAGATATACATAGGTAAAAAATTAAAAATAAATAGAAATTTATCAAATAACCATAAAATATGTACTATTTAATGTTTTTTTTTTTGTAACTATTTGAAGTCATAATCATATGTCTTTTGACAATTATTTTAAAATAAAATCAAAAGATATGCCTAGAATGTTGAATAACTCATCTCTTAATTAGACATTTATCTAAATAGCATGATGGTAATTATGTCTTTTGAAGACGTGATTTGGTAAGGGATTTTGACTCTTAAATGATAATTTTGGTCTAATTGATTCTTCTGTGTCTCTTAGTCAAAGTTAATTGTTCGATCCAAGGTTTAAAAATAGCAATTTGGTGACCCGGGTTGCGTTCCTAAGAAACCGGTCTAGATTTGTGGTCTAGATGGGTGATCGGGCCTCGTGAATTAGGGAATAGAAATTTAAAAAACTCAGGAGACAAAAAGAAATTGAAAAAAAAGTGGGATTGGTCATGTAACCGCGTCGTTCCTCTGGTCAAATATTTGGGTAGAACTGGACTAACATGACAATTCCCTATCTAAACCGGCAGGTTCCGGTTAGGTTGAGGGAATTTTAAAACCTTGGTTCGATCAAAGCAATGGTTTGGAAGATCCTTGCTTAAAATAGGTCTGGGCTTATAGTTTAGATTTGAAGCTTTTGATTTTAGAACAAGGAATTGAATAGCGAAATGATGATGTTACTGTTGGTTTCAGTTGGGAAACATTAATGGAGTCACAGGCATTGACTGCTAAAATCCTGTATCTCTGTACTACTTACCATGCCATGACACAAAATTTCCCCAATTGATCCCTAAGACCCACCCCTACCCAGCTTCCCCCCCCCCTCCCTCTCTCTCTCTCTACAGTCAGTCTCTCTCTCTAAATCTCTCTCTCTGTTTCCCATTTTTTGCCAAAGACACCCCTCTCTCTCTCTTCTTTCTCTCTCTAGAGTCAGACAAGGGTATGGCCCATCTCTCTCACCCCCTCTCTGTATCTCACTCTCACTGCAGTAATATCCATCTGTCTCTCTCTCCAGTAATACCCATCTCTCTGTTTCTCTCTCTAACACAATTTCATGTGCCGCTTGCCAAGTTGGTGTGGATTGGTGCAACTCATTCAATGTTACATGTTACTTTCGACCATTCTGAGTTCCTTTCCTATTGATTTCGTACTCAAACGGTTGGACTTTTTAACATGATTTTGCATTTTCTTTTTATTTGGTATCATTTATTCCTATGTTTTCATGGGTTGTGCAGCTTTTACTTTTACTGTTGAGAAAATCTTAGCTAAAAGTACCCATTTTTAGCTTCTCTGTTGGCATTATTTAATTCATAGTTTAAATTGCAGCAAGAAGGAACCATGATTATTTATTCATTTTTTTTTTAACTGGCAGGAATTGATTAATAATTCTTTTGATTTTTCATACTCTTTATCTGTCATTTATTAATAATTCTTTTGATTTTTCATACTCTTTATCTGTCATTTATTGTTCTCCCTTTGTAGAGATAATGGGTTTCATCTTCTCGTGTAGTGATTATAAATAGCTCAAGGGGGTTCCCTCTCTCTCATATTTTGCTTTGCCAGAGTTCTTTCTCTTGTATTCAGATTATCTAGTTCAAGAGGGCTCATATTCTCTCTCTCTCTTGCTTGATTTTAGCTGGTATTGAATAGTTCAAAACTGGGTTGTTTAATGGGTTCTCTCTCTGTTTTTATTTACCAATTGGGGTTCATGCTTGATTTTAGCTGGTATTGAACAGTTCAAAACTGGGTAGTTTAATGGGTTCTCTCTCTGTTTTTATTTACCAATTGGGATTCATGGGGGCTCTCCTTGTACATGGGATTTGCCATGCAGATACTGTGCCTGGTTCCTTTGTCTTTGGGGATTCTTTGGTTGATGCAGGAAACAACAATTACATTGTTTCTCTCTCTAAGGCCAATTACATTCCGAATGGCATCGATTTTTCGCCTTTACGGCAGCCTACGGGTCGATTTACAAATGGAAGAACAATTCCTGATATCTTAGGCAATATTTCTTACCATTTTCTAGTGATCCTTCTTTATTCAATCACTATTGAGTTTAACAATAATTTCTTGCAGGGCCCCCTTCTATGCTGAATTTGTTGAATGTTAGTGTAATATTTGTGGGGTGTGGAGATTTCTTTTATTTCTTGTTTCTGCTTTTCCCATTTTCTTGAAAGAGAAAATGTAGGAAAATTTAAAGTGCATGAGCTTAGACTGAGAAGATTTGTTTTCTATTCGATCTTGGTCATGCAAATTTTGTGTGATCAGTGAAAGTCTGATATATTGAGCCGATGTATGTCATATTATAAATTTAGTGTGATTAACAATTCATGTAGCAGGAAATAGTTCCAAATGTGAGTTGCTTGGTTTTTCTCACTCTTGGTCGTATGGGTTCTGTCTGTCTTGAAGCAGGCCAAGAGTTAGGATTGACTTCATTTGCTCCCCCTTACTTGGCTCCAACGACTAGGGGGCTTGCGACACTTCAAGGGGTTAATTATGCATCAGGGGCAGGGGGAATTCTTAACGCCACTGGACAACTCTTTGTAAGTATGTTTCCTTTGGTTATTTTCATATCCAAAAGCTACCAAGTTTCAGTCTTTGCTTTCTAGATTAAAACAAACCCATATGAAACCACAGGCTTTGAATTTTAACCTATGTAATTCGACCAACTGAAATGCAATAGTGGAGATTAACTGCAGATTAGTCCTTTTCTGTTTCCTAGATAATTTTGTTTATCTCTGTAATCTGAGGCCCTACTCAGGTGACCTTAATCTTCTGGGCAGCAATAAAACTTCTCTAGAGTGAGAAGGCAACTCCAGAAATGGAACTCCGCTTATTGGCTAAATGCAGCCAACAATGGGAGTTAAAATCATGGCTGATTACCTACTTTCTGTGGTTGCCATTAACATGAAGGCCCCTAATGGCAGTTAAAGACGGGGCTCTTTTATTGCTACCGTGATATATAAACGGTGGCGTAAATTGTGAATTGCTGGTGCCAAGAATCAAGTTTGTCACTGGGTGCATATGAGCTCTTAGTCTTGCAATCATTTGTAGTTGTGTCTTAATACTTTTCTATAAGGTAAATGGACACAATGGTAGAGGTCTTGTTTTGTGCCTGTTTTCTTTTTGAACAAATTAGTCCGTTCCAGAGAGAAAGAGAGGGAGTCTTGTGCATATTTTCTTCAAATTGAAGTACCCATGTATGTTAATTTTGTGTTGGAACTGGTTGTCTTCAAGGGTGGCCGGATCAACTTAGATGCACAGATTGATAACTATGCAAACACAAGGCAGGACACCATTTCAATCCTTGGAAAAGCAGCTGCCTCAAAGCTTTTTCAAAGGGGTCTCTTCTCTGTGACAATGGGATCAAATGACTTTATCAACAACTATCTCACTCCTGTTGTTTCTGAAGCAGAGCGTAAAGTGTCCCCTGATGCTTTTGTGGAGGACATGATCTCCAAGTACAGGCTTCAATTGACAGTAATGCCTTCAACCAGTTTCCTTCTCTCCATTTGAAATTCAAAGTGATCTCTCTCTCTCCTTATTAAGATTTATGAGTGCTAGTAATTTTCTCATCAAGGGAGCTACACAGGAGATTTTCGGTTCCTATGCTTTTCAAAGGAGGTATTGTGAAAAATAAGAAAGACCAAGAAAAGAGTGAAATATTTCAGAACCGAGACACCTAGTTTTAGAATTCATACTTTTACAAACTATTATTCAAAATTTTCAGGAAACGTCAAGGGGGATGTAAATGTGATAATATTTAAGGGGAATTTGCCACTATATGAAACAAATAATTAACACGATTAAGATGGAAATAAGTAAACATCATGTATTCCTTTCCTCTCTCTGCCAACATGCAAAAAATATTCCGGGTATCCCTTTAGCAGATTGTATGCTATTTATTATCCTTTGGCTAGACCCTTTTGTGAGACCCAAGTTTGTAACCAGTTATCTGTTCATCTTTCTTTTCTTTGCTTTCTTTCTTGTAACTTTCAGAGGCTGTATAACTTGGATGCAAGGAAGATCGTGGTAGTGAATGTTGGACCGATAGGATGCATCCCTTATCAAAGGGACATCAATCCAACAGCTGGGAATGATTGTGTTGCATTTCCGAACCAATTAGCCGTGGCCTTCAATGGGCGCCTAAGAGATCTCCTCCCAGAGCTGTCTTCAAATCTCAAAGGCTCCAAATTTGTCTTTGCAGATGTCTATAGCATAGTCTCTGATATCATAGAAAACTACACAAATTATGGTGCGTATGCTTAAAATTTTGATTTTTTGATTTTTTTCTTTTTGGCGGTTGGTTATTTGGATTTTGAGCCCTCATATTTAGAGTTTCCAAGCAAAGGATGGGTGAAAATGATAGAAGATTTTGAGCCTCCAATGCTGAGTTTATTAGAAATTGAATTTGTCCCCTGCATCATCATCATCATTATCAGGACCTTCACTTTTTGGGGATCACTTGCATTGGTGTTATTTCATGTAGTCTGCAATTCGTATTTCAAAACTAAGAAAGAAAGCTGAAAATTTCAGGGCTTTATAGTTGTATTTTGCTTTTAGGATTATTATTAATGAGATAAAAGAAGAAAGAACTACAAAAAATCACATGCTCAAGTGCACATGAAAAAGAGTGGACCATGAAACCGAGAGTACATTGGTGTCATAACCGTCCCATGACCTGATGGATGGTGATAAGAGAGAGACATGCAAAACATTAAGAGGAAGTCACACATACACACGCACACTTACAAGACTACCATTTCAAATAACACTTAAATTTTTGTTGTTTTTTCTTTTTTGTCACAAAAAAAAAGAAACTCATTTTGTCGAAAGTGATTTTTACAGGCTTTGAGGTTCCGAACTCTGCATGTTGTCGTGCGGGAGGGCGCTTCGGGGGCTTGATCCCATGCGGTCCAATATCAAAGTTTTGTTCAGACCGCTCAAAGTACATATTTTGGGACCCGTATCACCCTTCAGAAGCTACAAATCTTATCATAGCGAAAAGGTTGCTTGATGGAAACTGGAAGGACATATTTCCAGTCAATATTAGAAAACTTGTCCAAGCTTAAGATTCAATACTGGTTTTCATGGCCATAGTTTCGAGACCTAATTAGTCCCACAATGCAGATTTAATTATTTGGTTTTTGTAGTGATCGGATCAATCGAATGTTCCAGTCCTATTTTTTTCATTTTTTCAGCTGGATTGATGTTAAATGCATATGCAACTCTCATACATAGGAAGTTAAAAAAGATTCAATACATTTTTTTCTCTTTCTCGTAGTTATTTCCCATTTAGATGGATCTTTGGATATCAGGCTTCTTGCTTAGAGTAAGTATCTCACTAGTTGAAGCCATGGTTTCATACTTGTAGCAGGCGATATGTGCATTGTGGAGAGACGTCCTCATTCCTTGAAAAAAATTCCACCCCAAAAGTGCCCTTTTCTTTTAACTGCCCACCTCTTTAGTACCAGAAGCTCACACCAATGTTATAAGGATTGGACCAGCTACTAAATTGGTGACGGATTTGGTCTAGTCGGAAGCACTTTAATTATATTTTAAAAACATTAAAAAATATATACTTAATAATAATTTTAAAGTATAAAATATATTAGAAAAATGTTGTCTAACGTAGTTTGGCTAGTCTCATTGGAATGGACTAATTGGACGGGCTAAAATCGGTCAAGTTCTAGTTGAGGTTTCTGACCAAATTTGGTTTTTATTTTATACCAGACTAGTCAATACACCCGTCAGCGATTCGACCGGTTGTACCATCTGTTCGGTTCAATCTTGATAATTATGGGTCAGGAAATTTATTAAATGTAAAGCACAAAATCAAGTGAAATTGGGGCAGTTGTAGGTGTGCCATTGAGCTTGCCCAAAATCCATAAAAAAAAGTTAATTTTCAAAACATTGTGCAAAAAATTGATGTCTTAGTCACTTTAGTTCACATCCAATGGCTATTGGAGATTTTGCCCTTTATATAGCAAACGTAAATGATTTTATAGTTTATATCCACTTAATGTACAAACTTAGGGTTTATATTGCTATTGTAAATGCGTTTTCGTTTATTGATTTTACTTGGTTAAGAAACCATCACTAGCACATCATTTATTAAGTTCTAAAAGTTAGATAAAAAAAAAAACAAGATCATTTGACTTCATTATAAGGTAGTCAAAATCACTTCTGGCCGTTGGATGTGAAATCAAATAGCCAGAGGTATGCCATGGACTTCCATGTGCCAAAATCACAAAAGAACAGCACTGCGCACAAGGTACAGTAAGATTGTAGACCAAAAGAACACGGGTGTGTTTTATAAAAGGTTATAACCCTAAACAATTTAAGCCATATATACCTCCAAATTCTCTCATAAGATGTAACTTTGGTATAAAATTTTTTTACGATGGCCGGGTAATCCATTTTCACCTCTAATGATGAAAATTTTTAACTTAAAAAATGGTTCAAATCAAGTAGATCTATGAACACATGAAAATCTTAAAAATGGACAGTCCAGATATCATGTTGCAAGATGCACTGGTTCTGGGACTCGGAACCTTTCTTTTTGCACATATTTATACATCTCAACATTGAGATGATCAATTAGACGGTTATTCAACATCAAAATAATCTTTTCCAATGGATTTTTGAGGTGAAACTTAATTATGTTGCGACTTTATATAAATTTTTTCCACTTAATAAATAAATTTAATACATGGAGATTTTCCTCTTAATATGGGGTGGTGAAAATCTCCAACTTCTAAGTTAGCGATGACTCTCAATATTACAATGTATTACATTGTATTCCATTGTACTACAATTATATTACAATGTAAAACAATTGTATGATAATATATTACATTGTATTACGATTGTATTACATTGTATTACAATGTATCACATTGTATTACATTCTAATACATTGTGTTACAATTGTACTACAATGTAGTACAATTGTATCACAATGTATTACAATTGTATTACATTGTTTTGTAATGCATTACATTGTATCACAATTTTATTACAATATATCACAATTATGTTAAAATGTATCACTATGTATTACAATTGTATTACATTGTATAACAATGTATTATATTGTATTACAATGTATTAGAATTTATTACATTGTATTACAATTATATAACATTGTATTATATTGTATTACAAAATACAATTGTATTATTATAATGTATTACAAATGTATTGACATTGTAATACAATGTAAAACAATTATATTACAACATATTACAATTGTATACTACAATTGTACAACGTTGTATTATATTGTAATACATTGTATTACAATTGTATTATAACGTATTGCAATTATATTACAATTGTATTACAACGTATTGCAATTGTATTTCATTGTAAAACAATTGCATTACAATGTATTACATTGTATTACAATTATATTGTATTGTATTACAATTGTATTGCATTGTATTACAATTGTATTACGATGAATTACAATGTATTATATTATATTACGATGTATTACATTGTATTTTATTTGTATTACAATGTATTACAATTGTACTACAATTGCGTTACAATGTATTATATTATATTACAATGTATTACATTATATTGCATAATATTACAATTGTATCACAATTGTATTATATTGTGATACATTGTAAGGGAGCGTTAAGACGAGGGATGTTTGTAACGATGAAAGTGTGCGACCGTTTTCCACATCAGATCGTCGTGTTTGGACTTTGAACGCAAAACGTATAATAGTCTCCCATTCAGTAGCATCATAATCCCGCAGTGTTTTGTGGAGTCTCCTCTCTCTCACTGTCTCTCTCTAACTGCTATCATCTCCATAAACACCTCACTCTTTTGTCAGAGCACTTTCACTTTATTTTGTGGAGTTCATAGAGCCTCCTCTCTCGGTCCCTTTATCTTTCTATCTCATAAACACCTCTCAATTTAGTTCAACAGAGCACTATCACTTTCTCTATCTAACATCATAGACACTTTCTCTCTCTAACTTCTATATCCATAAACACTTTCTCTCTAACTTTTATATCCATAAACACTTCACTTCATTTCATCAGAGCACAGAAATGTAAAGTTACATATTTCTTAAGTTCCCTTTGCAAATCACAAATGTAGAGACAATGTATTACAATTATAATACAATGTAATACAATTTTATAACATTGTATTACAATTGTATTACAATAGTATTGCAATTGAATTATATTGGATTACAATTGTATAGTATTGTATTACAATTTTATAACATTGTATTACAATGTATTACGCTGTATTACATTTGTATTACAATGTATCAAAATTGTGTTACAATGTAAAACAATTTTATTACAATGTATTATATTGTATTATAATTGTACAACAACAATTGTAATACATTATAATATAATTGTAATACAATCTAATACAATTGTAATACAAACTAATACGCTGTAATACATTGTAATTCAATTGTAATACATTGTATTGCAATTGTTTTACATTGTAATACAATTGTTATATATTGTAATATAATGTAATACATTGTAATACATTGTAATACAAGTGTTTTACATTGTAATACAATGTAGTACAATTCTAATACAATGCAATACAATTGTAATCCAATATAATTCAATTGTAATACTATTGTAATACAATGTAATACAATTGTAATAGACTGTTAGAAAATTGTAATACAATATATTATATTGTATTACAATTGTAATTACATTGTCTCTACAATTGTGGTTTGCAAGAGGCAACTTGAGAGATATGAAACTTTACATCTTACATTGTAATATAATGTAGTACAATCGTATTACAATTGTAATACAATATAATACAATGTAATACAACTGTTTTTACATTGTAATGCAATGTATTACAATTTTATAGCATTGTATTATAATATATTAGGTTGTATTACATTTGTAATGTATCACAATAGCGTTACAATAACAATTGTATTACAATGTATTACGAATTGTATTACATTGTCTTATATTGTAATACATTGTATTGCATTGTGTTACATTGTAATACATTCTATTACATTGTGTTACAGTGTATTACAATTGTAGTACATTATGTTACAATGTATTACAATTGTATTACGTTGTATTTCATTGTATTATGAATGTATTACATTATAATATAATTGTATTACAATTACAATTGTAATACATATTATAATGTATTAAAATGTATTATATATTACAATGTATTATCATTGTATTACATTGTATTATAATGGATTATATTGTATTACAATGTATGACATTGTAATACATTGTGTTACAATTGTATTACATTCTATCTCCATAAACAGCTCTTACTTCGTTTCAACAAAGCACTCTCACTTTCTCTCTCTAATTTCATAAACACTTTCTCTCTCTAACTTCTATATCTAACTTCTATATCTATAAACACTTTACTTCATTTCATTAGAGTGCAGAAACGTTAGTGCATATTTTTCAGGTTGCCTCTTCAATAATGTATTACGATTGTGTTATAATGTATTACAATATAAAACAATTGTATTACAGTGTATTATAATTGTTTTACATTGTATTATATTGTAATACATTGTATTACAATTGTATTATAGTGTATTACAATTGTATTTCAACTTATTACAATGTAAAACAATTGCATTACATTGTATAACGATTGTATTACAATGTATTACGATTGTGTTACAATGTATTACATTTTATTACGATTGTGTTACATTGTATTAGAATGTATTACATTGTATTACAATTCGTTTGGTGTCCACAATGTATCAGTCATTTACTAATTATTTGATTCTACTAGATAGAAGATTTATGATGTTCAAAAAATTTATAAATCCAATGTCACATTCAGTAAAGATTTATGATACATGTATAGGGTGTACACAATGCATACGAGCCCTACCCCATGGATGTATTGGAAATGATACATTGGGACAGATGTAAAGCTAAACAAACAGCTTTTACCCCAAGAACAGATGACTGTGTAGGTTGTAAGAGATGTGAATCTGCCGGTCCAACAGATTTCTTGAGTGTAAGTGTTTATTTCATTTTTATCGAAGGAGGGATTTTCTCAGCTACTTGAATAATCCCATTTTTCAATTATTCAACCATTTTATTTTTTATTTATTATTTTGATTAATTAGATTTATTATTCCATTTATTATCATAGATATAGATAGATTTTTATTCTATTAATATCTATTAATTAATATTATATTCATATTGGTATTCATTTTTTAGTATTTATTCTTTTTATATTTACTTGAGAAGAAA